TTTGTCTCAATTTTTCTCTATGAACTTCCCTTAGAATATTCTAAATAATTTCCTTGGTACGCTCTTCAGAATGACCATCATATTCTTCTCAGACTGATTCTCTTCAGTATACTCTAAGTACTCAAGTATTTTGCCAAAATAGCCTTGAAAGTCTCCCAGAAATTGCCAGATTTCTTAAAACTTGATAAAACCTAATCTCCACTGAAATTATTCTCACGATTCATATCAGCATTCTCCTTAATTTTCATATTAGGAATTTTCTATGATTTCTCGTCCAAAATTCCAACCATTTCCTTTTTTCACAAAATCTCCATGCAATTGTCATCAGAGTTTGCAAAAGACAATTCATACCACCTTCACTTCAATCAAAGGTTGCACAGACTGCATACTTACGCTTCACTGTAAATTATTTTCAGAATTTCCTTAAAATTCTGAAATATAGGGCAATTCAGAATTCAAAAGTATCTCAGACTGCTAAGGTAACTCCATATTCACAGGTACTTTAAAATTCTATTTAAAAACCTAATTAATTATCCTCACAATTATCACGAACATACTAGATTCAAAAGCCTTGCTAATTTTTCAAAGCTCAATTTATTGTTTTCAATCCTGAACTGTTTTCGATTTCTCTAAATTCCAAAATTAAGAAAAATCCTCCATATTTAAATATTGATTTTTATAAATCCAGGATTTAAAAAAAAATAATTATAGCCAAAATCAAAACAAAAACACACACAAAATCCTGGCTCGATATTTTTAATTAATTTGAAGATTTTGACAGCCAATAATGCTTAGAAAATGTTTCAATTTTCATGATTCTGCAACCCATTGCAAACATGCTGTAACAAGTCCATGCATGATGTTACCTTTAGTAATTAAAGTAGTAAGTTTGGCTTTTTATTTTTTGATCAGAGGGTCCATTAATTGCAGTGATATTTATAAAGCAACACATTTTAAAAATCTGGAAAAATCTGGAACATATTTAAAAATTCTGGATATAAACGTGATCGGTCTGTGTATCTGGCTAAACGACTGAAAATCTGGAAAATCCAGATAAATCTGGAATACTGGCAACACCGGGTACCATTAAGAGACAAGCTTAAATATTTCCCAGAAATTTCTTCCGACTTACATGGAAAGTACATCTTTCGATTTCAGTCCAAAAATTTGATAAAAATATAAAATTAATTAAAATAGTGAATACCGATAAATACCAATTTTTTTTATCATTTGATACCGATAATCATGAAAACAATCTGGCAACGCTGCTCGTTGTTCACGAATGCAGTGCTGCGCGAATGGTTTGTTTTTTGCTACCTCTTCTTTTCGCTATCATTCGCTGAGTTCCTACATTTGACCATCATTCGTCACACGCCAGCTGCTTACTTCTGCTCGAAGACTTGGGTGATGCACAGGGTTGCCAAGTGGTTTTTCAAAAAAATCTGGCTGTTTTAGAATAAAAAGTCTCGAATTGTCTGGATGTTCTAGATAATGACGTTTTATTTTAATATATGCCATTTTTGTTCACGGTGTTCATATTTACTTTTTACAAGACAAACTTATACATTTGTTACCTTTGGGCTTATGTAATATTGAAATTTGATGGTCGAGGTGATAAACACCAAGCCATAATCACTGGTGTAAAAGCTTACATGATTATTTGTAACCACACGGGGAAAAAAGAGTTCCCATATTCGTGAACCACAGCTGTGAACCATAGTTCACGGTGTATATTTGAGAAAATTTTGTTCTGGATAGCGGGCCGTGATTATTAGTTCACGGTCCGTTCCCGTTTTCGGGAACGGATTTTTTTCCAAGCAGAATTCCATGCATTATGAAAGTTACTATCGGTTTGTCTTTGAATTTACCAAACAGTCGGTTGACAGAAGATGATGAGTGTTTCAGGGCCAAAATACTTGGAATATATTCATAAACTACGCAGACAGTTTTTGGGCATTCTAAACCCTCCTCCCCTGCGCAGACGATTGCCATTTTTTTAAATTATAAGGACCGTGGACCATTCCCAAGTCCCCACCAAACTGTCTATGTAGTTTATGAACAGCCTAAAAACCTCAAAAGTTAACCACATTACTTGGTTTATCCAGAAAGTTATTTTAAAAGTTAAGATTTATCAGCTCTTTAAAGTTTTGATCATCCACCTGAATCATTTCCCGAGGAATAATATTTGATAAATTTAAATAATGTTAAAATCGCTTGGTGGCTCCTCTCTTAAACATTGTGATTAATCCAAATTGAGAACTCTGAAATAATATGGACATATTATGAAAAGTCTGGCCAAGAGATTTTTTTGGAGGTGTGTATGGTCCATAAAAATCAGGAAGATTTCAGGTAAATCTGGAAAGTTGACAATGCTGGTGATGCATTCGATGCGATTCGCAGCCGAATAATATTCGCAACTAAGCTTCAGAGCGATGCTTCAGCTACTGTAACTGAAGAGAAAAGCAGCTTTGGATAGTAGCTTCAACGGTGTTGTAAAGGTTGTAGCTCCATTTGTAAATTATACCCGAGCAGAGAATAAAAACAAAATGAAAACTAATTTTGGTACTTTGAAGTAAGCGTTCGTAATAACAAATATTTTGAACAATTTTACCTGGTGTCTCACTTTCCAGCAGGTGCTTCCAAAAATTTAATATTTCGTAATCGTATAATTGAACATATTTTTAGTTCTTTGGAAAACGTTTCAGCTAAATTGATCATAAGTTAACAAAGTTACATCGTGTCAAAGTTGGCCATTCTGTATGAAAATCGGCATGTGCTGCTATTTTATCGAACACAGCTATATCTGAGGAAAGCAATAGCTGATGGATTGACAATTGCTGTAAATCAGGGAATATCAGGGAATTTTATTTTCTTCCTTGACTTGACATCCTGTTCCACTCTTTTCGCTATTAAAAATATTTTTCAGAATTATGAAATCATTAGATGCTATAATGATATTTTGTAGTTAAAAGTTCGAAGAAGATGCTGTGAAAGACGTGTTTGACACATGAGACCCGATTATAACATCTAATGATTTCATAATTCCGGAAACTATTTTTATAACGAAGTGAGTGGAAGCAACCCTGGATGACTCTAAATCTGCAAATAAAAAAAAAAAGATAAAATATATCCCTATCTAAACCAATATCGGGGTGCAACAATAGATGTTCGCCAACCAAGAAAAAACTACAATGGACAGCCCTATAGGGTTGTACGCAATGGTGACGTACAACTACGTGCTCTTATATACTAAATCTTATTTGTTAACTGCAGCAAAAGCTTGTGTTTTGTGTAGGAATAGGAATTTGAGCGGGGTTCTCTCTGTTTATACTCTTTAGTATGACGCGCTTGACATAGATGGCCCACAGCAACTCACGATGAGCTACTGATTCCAATCAATAGCGGTTCGGCTTCAGCCGTTCTTCTTTTGATGCTCATGTGGGCTGCAACTCGCTTCTTGCAGGCAGCCTTTCGTTGTGTACTGGAGAACACCACCACTCACCACGATGGATTTGGAATGGAATTGGATTTGGATTTTTTTTTAACTGAATTTTTGAATTTTTTTTTTAATTGAATAGAAAGATGGAATTCAACTTTGAAATCTGTGTTAGGAAAATCGCTTTTCGCAGGCAATCGGTGATAGTTTTAATTATCATAGCAACAATTTCACATTCGTGCAATTTTCAATATTTTTTTTTAATGATAAAGTTTTTAATTTATCAGATGCGTAGAAATATTTCTGATCGATTGGTGATAAAATTATTAAAATTGGTCCAGGGTAAGCTGAGTTAATAATGTTTAAAATCTTTCATAAATTTGTTAGATGTTCCATTTTTGATTTTCAAAAAGTGTACTCCCATATATAAATCACAGACGTAGTCCTACGTCAAAATTCTGAGCACGGTTCTGCCGCCATGTGTCGTTTTGAAAAACTTACTGATCGCGCACGGTTAGGACCCGATTTTCTACGTTGTGTTATAATTAATTGAAACAGACCGATTTATTGGCCGTCCTGCCATGGCGGAGGCATTAAACTATATATTTATTGTTTGTTTTTACATAAAAGAACAGCACATTACAGTAGATGCATAATAAAAGTGACAATTATAGATGGACAAGTGGTCACATCTATGGACAGGTTCAATAACTGTGTTATGCTTAGGGTAAAGGCGGTAATCGTCGCTTGCACGAGCACTTACAAATTTGTTAATCATACAGTGTGTATTCACTTGTTCATTTTTTAGTACTTTTCCTCCAACAGAAACAAAATTAAATTCCCTAAGGCAGCGCAAATGGGAGCCGTTCACATTTAAGAAATTCTGTTAATTTAAACTTTTCCATGACATAATTCCTCATGGTGCAGCACATTCCTACAGCAGTGATGATTTTTCGCAACGCTCGAATATGCTCTCAATTTCCGTCCATTTCCTCCACTTTCGGCCATTACTGTCGCACTAGGCCCGGAGCTTGGGCCATAAACAGCCATACTTTATTGCGTTCTGTGTTGAGGTTGCGATATTCATGTTTGTCGCGCGCGCCCACGTCCAATGTACGCTGTGTTGGAAAAGCCTCCTGGCAACTCCCGCTATTAGTTGTCACCGAAATCCCTAGCCTAAAATCGCGCTACCGTCTGTCGTCATCGTCCTCGTTGTTGCTGTTGTTTTCGCTGGTATGGTCATGTGTAACAGAAGCCACCGTTTTGCGGCTTAGCCAATCGACGACGATGACTACGCTATCGCTTAAAACCTGGGGGCACCACATAGGGCACTAAAATGCCTCGGTCCGAAAATTTATTACATCCAACCCACACCCACCCAACAACCACCATCTGGCCTCTCTTTTTCCCTTTCTCCTGAATGCATATGTAGCTTCACACATATATCATACGTTACAAATGAGAACGTAGCAATCGATGATATTTTCATGAGCTCCAGAAAATTGACATTTTATCTCATTTCCGTTTTTTGCTTTCTTTCCTTGTTCTCGTTACAATTTTGCAGACGGTATTCCTGCTGAATAATCAATAGAAGTGTTCCGGAAGAAGACAAAACAGCCTCAGAAGGAACAGCAAATCCTTGAAGCATCGATATCTTGACGACGTGGCAGTCAACCACCACCCAGTTCATCCGTCGTAGAAGCAGATCGCTGTTACGGCCGCCGCCGGGAGAGAGCAGAAGAACAAGAAGACTGTGTTTTTACCGTTTGCGTGTTGTTATTATCCCTGTTTCAAGCATACCAGATCGTTTACAAGTGATAGTTGAAAACCAAACAAAACGAAAGAGGTGCCGAAGTTATATGCGGTAGTGATAGCAAAACGGGAGTTGTGTTATTTTCCGTGTACCTCCTGGCCCTTGTTCCAGACAGGATAAGTACCGCACATTGTTACAGAGTATCGTGTTAAGGAAGCCCCGGAGTAACGTAGTGAAAGCAGAAATCCTCAGATCCCCCCAAGAGGACACCCCTTTACTATTTAAGTCATTTACCTGTTAGTAGGTAGATTTAAAATCAACAAAAATTTACCTGTTAGACAAATCGACGACGACGACGAGCTCGTCGCCCGAAGGAATCATTTCGTGCGTGTACCCGTTCCATCACCAAGCCGGCACAATTGAACCGTTCAAGCTGGCTGCCCACATACACCCCACGGAGCCACTGGCTGCCGCGCATCACGGGACGATGTCGATACCGAACCCTGCTGGGCAGATAGAGGGCGCACTGGCTGCGCCCAAGTACGGCACGCTCATTCCGAACCGGGTCTTCGTTGGTGGCATCAGGTGAGTTTCGAAGACAAATTTTACATCACATTTACGTTCATCACTTTAAACTCGTATTCTCGTTTAAAATTGGATCATCCCGAAAATGTTGAAGCTTTTTCAATTATATCATCATTACCTTATGAGCAGTTCCATGTGAAATCTTCCTGAAAAAGCTAAAATCTGACGCGAATCGTACCGATTTCAATTAAACTTTGTCTATGTTTTCAACAGGAAGGAATATGAATCACCCGTAGCTATTTAGCCCCTCTTTTAAATAATACAGTTGATAAAATCAATAAATCATTAAAACACTTCATTTTCCCATGTATCGTACTCTCCTAAAGTCGATATTTCTAAATGTCGATGCCTCCTTTGGTCGATGATCTATGTAGTGTTATATTGATTCTATAACTCGATATGTCAAAGGTTATTTCTGCTTCCGAATTATGTGCTCACTGAGGGAACTTTAAAAACATATTTGGACGACTGGTAATCATATTGAGTACCCAGGACCCATCGACCACATGAGAAAATACTCCTGGTGTTTCGTGGAAATTGTCCGTACCTTTAATTTATCCCAGGACCTATCACGAGATATGTCAATCAGGTTATATTGAATGCGCAGGGCGGATGCTGCGTTATTAAGCTGAACGTCAGTAGGCCGAATGGTCATTAGGCCGAATGGTCATTAGGCCGAACGGCCGAATTCTGGGAAATAATGTCTTAACACTTGCGAAGAAAATTTTATGGTTTCAGAAAAGAGAATAACCAGCAAATGATAGAAGGATATACACTAGACTGATGCAAAATTTGAAATTTTCGCTCCACAGTGCTTAAACGGTTTCATATTGGGTCCTGATTAGTCTCCTAAAATATGAACTATATTAGTAAGAAACTGACTTGGCACAAACCACTTCAAGTTTATATGGGAATTACTATGGGTAAACTTATGTTTCTGTTCATATCTATCTAACAATTCACCACATCACTATGCTTTTAAAATGATAACAGAGATTGTAGCAAATTTTCTCAGCTACAACTTTGTTCAATCAAATGTAAGGAAAAAAAAAGTTATTAACGATTCAAGTCACTGATGTCTTATGATTATGCTCATTCAACTGTTCAGCAGGCATTGGTGTTTCCGGTGCGTATAATAGAGCACAAATATCATGGCTACTATGTCACAGTGCAGAATACAGTGTTGCCCACAGAACAGCTGTTTGATCATGCCATAAGATTATCAATCTCTTCAACACTAAACAACAATTTAATTTGACATTTGGCTGAAAAACGATATTGTCCAAAGTTGTAGCTTAGAAAATTTCCCGTAAGAATAGTTATAGAAATTTTCGAAAAAGCAGCATGGAAAATGGGTAGAAGACAATGAACAAAAAGTTTGGTTTTCCCATAGTTATTTCCATATAAACTTCGAATAGTTTGTCCCAAGTTAGTTTCTTACCAAATGAGTTTAAATTTTGAGAGGCTTATCAGGACCTGATTTGAAACCGTTTGAGCACTGTGGAGCGAAAATTTTAAATTTTGCATCAGTCTAATAAACTCTTAGAAATGATCACCGACTTCGGTAATTTTTACCAAACTTTCAACAGCTGAACTGTTCGATAAAAATCAGGCATTTTAATTCTCTCGACTCGATTATTTAAACAAGGCTGACAGTGTTTTGAAATTAAATTTTATTGAACCAGCTGTTGAAATCAGGGTCAAAGTTTTACCGAACGTTCCACTGTTAAAAGTTCGATAAAAAATTCCCGAAGTCGGTAATAATTTCTGAGTGTGTAAATAGGGCTCTTTCATATTGGACTCAAATCACCGACAATTATTCCGTCTCATGTTAGGAAGAAGCATAAGAAAACATTACGACACAAATTCAGGGTGCCTACTTCCAGGAAAATCCTGGAAAACCTGGAATCCTTAGGGAATTTAATAATTCTTTTGGGAATTTTATATATTTTTTTTTCTAAGGATTTTTTTAAAATAATATTATACAATTATGAAAACATTAAATTTCCCCCGTTCTTTTCACTCATTGAACTCAATAGATCCTGAGCGGATTAATCTTCAGTATCAACATAAATCAGAGGCTTGAATGGTGTATTTTTCAAGAAACTATTTTCCAGGTATTTTGGAGAACAGCATATCACATAATCAACACTCGATACTCAAGCCACGGGGTATATGTACCGTGTAAAAGAAACCGTTCAAAAATACCCCGATATTTAAAAAAAACCCGCCTAAAAAGCCACGTATTAAAAAAAAACCTGTATAAAAAACCGCGTTATTTCAAAATTTGTCGTAAAAAAACTGAGTAGTGTGCTTGAAAATTTGAATTCTTTTTTTTTTTATGCATTAGGGCAAATGGCTATAATATTGGCCAATGGTTCTTAGATTGGGCCCATCGCTAAAAATCTGCTATTTATCAATTTTATCTAGATGAACGCGTCATTGGGATGGTACTAATGGATACTTTTGGTCGCTATTGAAAACTTAGTCGATTGCTGAATTTATGTATGGGCCCAAATTAGGGACACTTTAGCCGACATTACATACATTTCGCCTATTACATATTTTACAAAAAATATTTAAAAACTAATTTCGTGTTTTTCGCCTGTTTGAAAAAGCACTCAAACCATCACTTATGAAAGGTATTTCTGATACAGCCATCACAAATGCAATGTTGTGTTCTTATTGCTTATGAAGTTTTCTGATTATATACCTATTTAAAGTTTCATATTTAAAGAACCTAATTGTTTGAGTTTCACTCACTTTTTTTTACATTCATCGAGCATTATCAAAGTAACCCCAAATCAAAATACTGAAGTTCGGTCACAAAACTAAAAAAATAGTGCAAATGCTCTAATTTTCGTTAAACATATTACTAACGAATTAACTCTTGGATCCTCAGAACTTGTTTTAAAAATATAAAATTTGACAAACAGTCAATGCTGTAAAAAATATTTAGAATAAACTTTAAAAAACTATCAACGATACCCCGTTTTACGGGGCTTAAGCTTAGTTTATTGCGAAAATCCATCAAAATGGGTATTAAATTAAATTTTAAATATGTCTCAACTAAGAGGCGGGTATATCAAGAAGACTGTAGCATGCAAAAAGAACTAAGAAAATAATCGTTTTGAAGCATAATCAAGATTGCAAAAATTGCCTGGGGTCTTATTGATCTCAAAATACAGACAAAAGGTTAATAGGCACAATTTTTTATGGTTGTGGATGTTCAATTTTGGTTTCTATATTAGAGAAAACCATTGTAATATATGAAAATCTGCCATTATTCGAGCTAAAGTCCCACACTAGACTGGCGCACAAAAAAAAAGTTCTAATTTTCCACGGGCCAACCCCTAGATTTGTGCCATTGAGTGAAAAACCATTCTCTGAAAATTTCAGCTCATTCGGATGTAACACGAGCTGGCGCTTTAAGTTTGAATTTCGTATGGGGAATTTGGATAAAAAAAACATGAAAAACATGACACTCCTACACTCTATCGATCATACAAAAGTTTTCTTATCATCGATTTGATGTGTGTAACAACTTTGCTGAAAATTGCATCATGGGATTTAGTTTTATTGAGATATTCGCTTTTGAATGTATATGAGCATTTTGTATATGAAAATTTCAATCAAATCTCATATATAAAAATTAACCTAAAATCGACAGCTGGGTAACGTAAAACAGAGCTGAAACATTCAGAGAGTGGTTTTCTCACCTAATGGCACAAATCTAGGTGAAAAAAATGATAAATAATTTCCCACATATAAATGTGGGCCAGTCTAGTCCCACACCGCACCTATAGAAACTCCTATTAAACACCTATCGTCTATAAGCATGTTCCATTTTGACGTAGGACTACGTCTGTAATTTGTATATGGGGGTTAACCTTGTGAAAACCAAAAATGGAACATGTAACGAAATTATGAAAGATTTTGAACGTTAATAACTGAGCTGCCCTAGGACCAATTTCATTAATTTTAACACCAATCGATCAGAAATATTCCTACGCAACACTTCTGACTGTTGATTTTTTAGTAATAACTAACAAATCCACCAATTACGTACATGTTTACGCTGTTCCCCCAACACTGTCGTCAGAGAGTCGTAAGTAGACGAAACAAGTCGAAGTGGCATTCGCCTCCGATCTTCGGGCGTATGCAAATAGGGAGGATGCAATTGCGTAATATTTTGCACACTAATTGCCAAATTCAGAACCACACACCCCCAGCGACCACACAAAATTCTCTCCAGAGATGTAATCTGGTAACCAAACTTGGAAGCAGAGGTGCAAGTTATTTTGATCGATTCTCTTCATCGACTTTCTGTTTCGTTAATAACTCGACGGCAAACGCATTAATTGATACGTTTGTTGTTCTGGATGATAGAAGAGCATAGCAGAAATAGTGCGAAACAGGTTAGTGAAGCCATGGTCATCAAAAGAGGAAATCAATGAAGAGAATTGACTTTCACCCCTCTGCTTCTAAGCCCCTTAATTCAGTCGTCGTCATAGCATGAAAACTGGCATCGTACTGCTTTTCATTCTTGGGTTACACTTGCTGGCTCCAATTCTGCTGTTCGACATTTTCGAAGGACCACCAAAAAACATGAAATCAAACTATTTTCTAGTGATTTAAGCAGTTCAATTGTTCGATTAACGATTAACCGTAAAGATTTTACCAGCTACTTTTGATCGTTATTGAAAATTTAGTCGATTGCTGAATTTATGTATGGGCCCAAACTAGGGGCATTAAGGCCGACGTTACATCAATTTCCGCTACTGCTTTTATTATAACTTCGAGTAGCATACAGAACGGACACATACTTGTTTGTTTCTTGTTAACTCTATGAACAAAGTTTATCTTCCCTTTTAATTTTAATGCTTGCATTGTTCTCTATCCCGTTCCCGTTTGCTAAGGTATTGTATCATATACATGTTGTGTTTACTAAAATGATAGGTGGAAGCAAATGATTTTCTGATGTTACAAAATCGTAAACG